TAGAAAAAAAACTTCCGGCTAGCAACCTGTCAACACCTTAAATAATACCCCTATTTCCGCGTTAAGAAATGCATTTCTGCGATATGTTAAACTAAATGTAAATATTTGTTACTAATCAAACTAATTGAACTTTAAATCAGGTAATAGTCCTTCAAATAAAGTTTCAGAAAAGTATATTTTATTTTGAAAAATTTTTTAATAAAGGGACTTACATTGTGATGTCAAATGGTTATAAATTCGTGGTATGAGGACTTATCATTATTTGCATTAATTACACTGGAACTATTGTTGTTATCACAACCTTTCAACCAGTGTACCTTTCGGCCTTCTCCAAGTGCTTTTCGATGCAGGTAACCTTCAGGGAATTACGAACTGAACCTTTTATCTAATCTCTGGGATTATATAGTTCTTATTATGCTGCCCATGTCTAAGGATATCCCGTCTTTTTTCATTTTTAATACTGTCCAGTTATTGTGCACCCTGTTTCCAGGATTGCCAGGATTGATCGATTTTTGTCTCCTATGACTTATTAACCTTTTGCACGTTATTTAAAGCCAGAAAATATTTATCTACTGCAAGACATGTTTTGAGATGATAATGATTTACTGATACAAGCCCTACTAATTAACCCATAGCTAGGAGGGAGAGGAGGTGAATTCGTACCTTTCCCAACGGTTTTTGCGCGTTAGTGAATATAATGAACCTGACTGTAATTGGAACTCGGCTCTCCAATCGCCAATTCGTTATCCATTACACCACCCGCACATCCAAGCTTACAACACCTGGTATTCCCAGATGGTCACGCATCTAGTTACTGATCAGGGTCGACGTTGCATAACTTTGTTGAGCGTACGAGAACTAGTGTTTCTACGTGAAATAATCGTAATCCACCCAACCCAGGGATTAAATTCACAATTACAATGAATTCACGGGACCATAGCCTATTGTGCTAAAGAGTTCACAAGCATGTTTGCTCCTTGTGAAGTTGTCCAAAGGATCTATTTGCCAATATTTTTTTATTCTTAGTTTGGTGTCAGTGAATATAACAACTCCTGTGTAGGCAAAGTCCTGGAACTTGTTCAGCTTTGTCATACTGATGAAGGTGGCGCAGGTTGGAGGAGGATGACTGTTGATTTCCAAACCAGAGATTTTGCACGCCTTTATTAATCAGGATGTGGTTTGTTGGATGGTTGGTCGGGTCTGTGTGGGTGACAAGAACCGCCTTGTTTACAAACAGAATTTCCCTCGCTTGCTCTAGTGTGGGCTTGGAACTATGTGACGATGAACTGGTTGGTATCTGTGAATTTTCGTCGTCCTTCAACTTTGAGGCCAGCTTCAACAGCATGCAGAAGAAAAATACGAAAAGTATAGGAGTTCTCTTTGACTTCATTTTCGTTAGGGAAAGGACTTGAGAGATCTCGACCTATTCTAACACTCATTCGCCAAGTTGCATCGTCTATAACTAAATGATTATGTTAAGGATTTGGGAATGGTTGTATTATTATTAAAGAACTTCCGACGATTACTAATGGAATTTCCTCCTTGAATGAGAAGGATTATTCGTAATTTGTAAAAGTGGACCAGTAAAATTAATCGAAAGAAAATGTCTGTTGTCTTTAATAATATTTGCCTTAAAGAACATTTGCTGCCTAATACACAGAACATATATATATGTATGTGTATATATATATATATATATATAGTAGAGAGAGAGAGAGAGTTAGACAGAGAGAGAGACAGAGACAGAGGAAGAGAAAGAGATATTACTCAAAACTGGAAAGTCAATATATATATATATATATAGTAATCATTTCACTCCAAGCAAGGCGATAATGCTATTAAGACTCAAGAAGCTAATAGGAGTGAAAAGAAATGAGAAGACTTTAGGAAGAACCAGAAACCCAATACTAAACAGGAAATAAGGGATAAACCTCTACACCTGTTCAGTAGTTGGAGAGAAGTACTGAATCTGCGGTAAGATAAACCTATCTATCCTATATATATATATATATATATATATATATATATATATATATATATATATAATCAAATATAAATATATACAAATTATTTAATAAATAAATTGTCGGACCTTGTCCATTTCTTAATATATGACGTCATTTGTTTACATTCGATACGCCAGAGCAGTTATGAATGTACGAGATTCATGAAAGATTGGAGTTTATAAGCAGTAAATTCGACCTTGTCTACCGAACGGTTCTTTGTAGCCTAGAGGTAAGGCACGTCAGCGTATATGACGGTTCGTATTGGATGCAGGTTCGAATCCTGTCAAAGAACGAATATTTTCTATGAAAATTTCACGGACATTCAGGCCGGTAAATGTTATTTAATACTGTTTATCATAAACAGAGCATTTGCTTAAATACTTGTATCTATAAAATAACAACGTTAAACATAAAAAAAAATGTCTTTAATAAATATATATATAATTTTAAAATATAAAAGTTTACGGGGTAAAAGTGCTCAATATGAGATTAACAGCGAGTAGCGACAGTCGCTTTCATACCTGAACGCAATCTTGCCTGACGATTGCATGAATCAGACTGTCCCCACTCTGTGTTGGCCTCAATGTTTTAGATTACTATAAACTTTATATTTAGTGGGTACATGTGTTTGAGTTGCTATACCCGTTTTTTGGGTTTTTTTTTCTCTCTCTTAAACACCAAAATAAATAACCTGCCTAGATTGAGTAGTCCCATTGAATTAAAATATACCTCCCGAAAGGATTCGGGAATTACTAAGACATATTTCTCGTCGGGTGGATGTTTAAAAAATAAATAAAAAAGATTTATAGCAGCCCAAACAATTTATAATAAGAAGTTATATATATATATATATATATATATATATATATATATATATATATATATATATATATATATATATATTTGTTTAAAATTGTATGGCAAAGTGGAAAACAAATTTCTTGTGATGCTTTTTTTATTTCACCGAATTCATTTAGATTCTTTTTATTTCCATCACTTTTGTTAGTAGATATCCCACACTGTGATAATAGATCTGCCAGGAATAGTTAAATATTGTAAGAGGCAGGGCGCAAATTTACGTTAGATGACCTTACGATCGAGGCACTCTGTAGACATTTTCGTCGTAGTGAATTGCTTTGATCAGAGTAACATTTTTTTTATGTCAAAATTTTGGCCAGTCTAATTACAGTGAGCAACCAAAACACTTGACGTATTATTTTGTAAAATGTCCCTTTTGTGTTCATATAATCTTTTGCTTAGATTACTTGAGGTTTCTCGTATGTATTTTGTGACAATTATTACAGATGATGGAGAGTAAGTTCCTCCTTCAGGTTATAGCTTATTGTTTTGTTTAGTATTGACTAAGTCTTTTATTGCTTTGGTTGTAGTAGTAACATATGGGTATATAGCAGGACAGTCTAGGTTCTATAGCCTTCGTTGGCAACTGGTTTAACCCGGAAAGAAATGGCTTAGTTGGTAAGATAAAATTCACAGAATTCCTCGTTCGTGCGCATGTGCAGTCGTATCAAAATAACAAATTTAGCCCGCTGAAGTCCTGAAGGATGAAACGCGCGCGCGCGCGTGTGCGTGTGAGTGTGTGTTTGTGTGTAATATCGCACACTTCTGGCTTTGTAGTTTGAAGTATATAAGTTGTGTGTATGTGTGGTTTACACATTTTTCATATGAATATTGTATCGAATATGGTCATATGTCGCTAGATACAAACATAATCAAATATTTTTTGTAAATGTGTTTAATCATATGTAACCATATATACTTAAATATCCATATATTTTACATATATAGATATGCCATGATATTTGAGTGTAACTTGGTATTATTTTTATAATTACTTTACCGTTCGGCTACAGAGAAAGGCTTTGTTTTCCCTTTAAAGGAAAGCACTCTTCCTCATTCAGATATTTTTCTTGAAAGCCCATATCTGCTCACTTTCGTATCTGAAATGTAAACAAAGCAATTTCTAAAGAATTAATGGATTTATGTTCAATCCGACATATTTAATATTTCAAACGTTATTAAAGTGGGTATTCTTATTTTAAATAGACGTTCCTTTTTGTTTCTATTTTAAGCAGCGTGTACAACGTCTAGTAAAGCTATTAATTCTTTATGATTGATAAGTTGAATGATTCGTTTTCTACTGTTTATCAACCTATTGCAGGTTATTTAAAGCCATAAAATATTTTTAGATTGTAAGAATTTTTTTCTGACTATTATTTATCGGTTCTCCGATTAACAATTCTCTGTTACACCACCCGCATATCCAAACTTACAACACCTGGTATTCCTAAGCGGTCACCCATTTAGGTACTGACCAGGTTCGACGTTGCTTATCTTCGGCAAACTGGTGTTTAAACGTGATGTGACCGTAAGCTAGTGGCAAATAATATGAAGACATGTTATTAGATTTCGTTAGAACTGAAATGAAAAGACGGATAATCGTTTTACTATTGCCGGGAAACTGATAACTTTTTTTTTTTTTTAGTTAGTAATGGTTTACTAATAAAAGACTTACTAATTAATCTTGTTGTAACCGAGGGAAGATTACTGAATAGAATAATCAAACGAAGGTTGGTAATGAACGATAATACTTAGGACAAGAACAACACATATAAGATTCACCAGCGACGCGTAGAAGAAGTAGTCAACTGCTAGAAGTGAGTCAAGAGAATTCCAAATTGAATCTCCAACTGCAGGATATCTACCAACCACCCCACGCGGTCAGAGGTTCGGCCAGCACAGCTGGAGACGAACCTCCAACTCTAGAGCACGTACAGTATTCACTACTGCATTTATGGTAATGGAAGCAAGCACATTATTGTCCGTAGGGATGCTACAAGAAACTCAAAGCTGGGGGTAAAGAGGCGAATGAATTCCTTTCCATAGGTATTTGTACATAAGAGAATATGACAAACCCAACTGAAATTGGAATTCGGCTTTCCGATTAACAAATCATAACCACTCGCACAGCTCAAGCTTACAGCACCTGGTATCCAAGCGGTCACCCACATAGGTACTGACCAGGGTCGGCGTTGCTTAACTTCGGTGTTCGTAGGGGAACCGGTGTTTCAACGTGATGTGGCCTTATGCCTTTTCCTTTAGAATAAAGTACTGCCTCAGTCCATACTTTAATGAGGTATACCAAAATTTTTCACTTTTCATTTATTATTGATGGTGTAAACAATGCGTTTGGTTTGGTCCAGCGGTCAATAAGATTTGGGTCGATGCCTTCAAAAACTCTTAAAGTTGGTTATTGCATTTATTCTAGTTGTGGATTTTTATTGTACCATTATTGCTGCGTACGCTGGAATTAAAATAAAAAGAATGATTTAGAAAATGTATGATATCTAATCAATTAAATGAAAAAAAATATATAACATTTGTCCCAAACTGTGACAATTAGAAGAATACTGCGCATTGTTCATGTAGGGATACAGAAGGCGCTTATCTCCCTTTGATAGAGATAAGTCAAATGAGTCACATGACAACAGCTTAGTGACGTCACTCCATACAGAGTGGAAAGCGGTAGTCAATTACAGTTTGTTTACAGCAGCAAAACCAAAAGGTTGCTTTCTTTAGACTTCCCTCTCCCATGGACCAAGCGGAGGCTAAATCTGTCTCTCCAGCAACTTACAAATCTACGGTGCCGTTCTCGTTTGGGAATATATATTTCTCATATATAAAAAGAAACTCCAGCTCGCAATCCTCAATTTGGGAAAACCCAAGACTCACTGTTTCCCGTTCGTGGAATATGTCATCGCCTGGGACATTGATGAATCTGGCCCGTTTGAATCTAGAGGCCTAAACATGGCTTCTCCAGACACAGGAGTATCTCCATATACGTAAGACCCTTCCTTTTTTTTTCTCCTTAACTCTGCTTTGCTGTGTAGATATATGTGATATATTATTCTCCGTATATATATATATATATATATATATATATATATATATATAACGTCATCCACAGACAGACTGTTTCGCAGCTCATCAGTGTGGCTAGACATCCGGTTGCCTCTAGGTAGGATCGAAACCCGACTGAATTGGTGTCAGTCGGAGATTCTACCACTAAGGTGGATTTTTAGCGTATTTATTTATAGAAACACGCCCAGTGACTCAATTCGCTTTTGCGAAGAGTCTCGCTATATATAGCTATAATAGTCACTGTTTACCAACCCAGACAACACTTGTCTATATTATTTAATGAAACGTGTATATATATATATATATATATATATATATATATATATATATATATATATATATATATGGTTTTGTGTATAAAGGTTACTCTGAGAACAAAGCGTCTTTGTCATTCGTTTTCCTTTCAGCCATTTCGCTCCGTCCGTGAACTAAGATGTTATTATAGTATGGATATAATAATACCCATAACGAGCGAACAACAAAAATGGGAGAATAATTCTTTTTACTATGACTTTTTCCCGTTACATTCAAAATACAGCAGATATAAACTGATATATCTATATCAATTGTGAAACAAGCTTAGTATTATTAGAGTGGCTGAATGTTTTTACTACAAGACAGTAGACATAATTCTCATATATTTAGCAAATGTCAACAGTCTTATTACTCATAGACTAATATTATGAAAGAATAATCAAGATAAAAGATACAACTGATTAGAAGAAACCTGTTATTGCGTTTTGGGAAAGTCTTACAATAATATAAATTAATTAAAAAAAAAGCAACTGCTATTGAATGACTGCTATATTAAAAAATAGGAATGCTAGGAATAACAAACAGTTTCTAAAAAGGTCAAGTCCAGAGATTGTGATTTTTTACGGTAAAGTTTACCCTGTACACGGCGCGGGGGCTACTCAAGATAGAGAGTTACATCAATAGGCAATTTTTGCGGATAGGAGGGGAAGATAACGGTTAACTCTAGACTTGAATAAGTTAAGACTGTAGTAATCGTGGAAACATCCTCTTGGAAGTCAGGTCTACAGAACAATGGTCCGCGGAAAGAAGCTGTTTGAGTGGATCTTTTTCACACCGGTGGGATACGGAGAGAATGGTGGGTGGTTTACTACAGTGTAGGTGGCATGGCGTGTCCTTGCCGTAAAGGTTTAAACTGGTGGAAACAAGGAAGTTAGTCATAAATAAATTCAGAGGATTGATAATTTAAAATACCTAAATAATTTTAGGCTTTGAAAAATGTTTTAAGATTGTGTCATAAAACCATAATTTCCTTTTATATATATATATATAAAACGAAAAGTAAAAAGCAGCCTGGCAATATAAAACGTAACACATGAAGAGCCACTCCTGATTGAATTTTAGCAAACTTTTATGGTTCTTTGTAAATGCATTTTTAATATATAACTCATTCTATAATTGTTATGGGACCTTAGCCATAATAACATAATGGACTATTCCATACGCAATAAATACTGCGCCTCAAGAGGAAGCAGAGAGTTCAGTCTGAAGTCGGGCGACCGGCTGATCGGTTGAACTCTCTGCCTTCGGGCGGGGAGGAACCCGAACGAGGCTACGCCGAAGGGTGGAGTCTCTTTCGGGAAGGTAAACCGACCTTGAACCCGTTTATACGGGTTCAAAGGGCATATTTTTGGCCGAGCCCACGGGCTCGGAGATCCCACGTTAAACCGGACTTGTGCCACATGATGCTCTCGTGTGGAGGTGACTAAATACCGTTCAGTCCGAAGTCGGGCGACCGGCTGACCGGCTGATCGGTTGAACTCTCTGCCTTCGGGCGGGGAGGAACCCGAACGAGGCTACGCCGAAGGGCGGAGTCTCTTTCGGGGAGGTAAACCGAACCTGAACCCGTTTATACGGGTTCAAAGGGCATATTTTTGGCTGAGCCCACGGGCTCGGAGATCCCACGTTAAACCGGCCTTGTGCCACATGATGCCCTCGTTGGGGTGGGGTGACTAAATACTGTTCAGTCTGAAGTCTGGAGTAAAATCCGCCAGGAGTCTGTCTGTCAGTCAGTCAGAGCGAACGAGTCAGTCAGTCGAGTTCAGAGGCAGTCCGAAACAGAGTCGTGTTCAGACAATTACTACTAAACCTGATTGTTCGTACCAACACTTTTCTACCTCTCTACATATATTCCTGTTTGTAATATATCTGTGTTATTTTATATCCGTGTTCGAGTTCTTCTTTATTGGTTCTACCTTGGACTATCACCGTGGTACAAGGAACCGGACCATAACAATAATGAAATATGAAAAAAAGTTAAACTAACATTAAAAATAATCAGAAATTGTAAAGAAAACAACTATTAATGTATGTCTATCAACTTAAGATGAATACGATAACTTACAAGGCATATGTTGCATAATAAATAATAAAATTTCTTATAAAGGATTAAAGTAGGTAGTACCACAGATTAGTGATACCTAAAGTTTAAAATTAATTTTTAAAAAATAAATAATCTTTCTTGAAGCTTTTATTTTAGCTTTAATTTCAAGATAATAGATTAAATTTAATATTTTCAATAATAATTTGTTGTATTTCAAAACTAACTTAAATTGACTGGAATGAGTTTTTGTTTTGAAATCACTAAAAAAATCTCCATTTTTAGCCGTCTGTTATTCCAATTTAATTCTCTGTATTAAAAAAAATCTAGCAGAAATAAAATATAATTTTCTGAAATTTTATGTGAGGAAGATTAGCTGATTTCAAATATAATTCATCTGATTTGAAAAATATTTACTTTTAGAAATGCATTTTTTAACACTTAGTTGTTTAATTATGGTACTGACAGCTTGATTCACAGACAGATGTTTATTTTCTGATTGTACAGTTAGAGTGGTTGAATGTTTTTACTACAAGACAGGTTATTACATTTATTCTAGTTGTGGAAAAATGTAATTAAAGTATGTAGCACCTCCTCCGTTGAAGGAGGGGCTCCTACGCCAAAAGCGTAAAATGAGGGCAACAGCGGACAACCATGTCGGACTGGGGGATTATATCTGTACATTTTTATTATTCTGTAGTTGTACATCAAATTTCATCACATCTCTTAAATGCAGGGTATTGCTTTGGTAACTATAATTTACAGACTAATTTTTACTTTATTAGGAATTAGTCAGATATTTATTTTACATAGTACTTGTAGATTGGTTTTGTATGAATTCTTGTGACCTTGATTGGTTTAATGAAAAATTAATTTTTTAAAAATATTTTTTGTTGTTCAACATACTGAAATACAGCATTTTAAGACCCAACTTATTTGATTTGAAATATCATGAAAGTATGATAAACCCTACGGGTGCATTCTACAGAAAAACTGAGATCTTACCACAGGGTTGTACTGTGTCCTTCTTGGGCACCTTACAAATAACACCTTCTTTATATTCGCCCCTTACATATATTGCTTTGCCATGTGCTTAGATTTCTCTATGTGGGACAATTTATGAATTATATATATATATCTACTGTATGTTTCATTGGATTTATGCGTGGGTACTTCAGTGTTGTTTATAAAATATTTCCGTGTCTAACTAGAATTTAATTCTTTAGGTTATTCTAGTCCTTTCGTCCGTCTTAAGTTGTTAGTATATTAACATTGTCACACGCGTACGCAAGATCAATGGACACAAGCCGATCGGGAGCTATACGAGCCGTCAAACCGCCGACAAAATCACAGAAAGGGCGCACCTGAGGACAGTTAGTTTATTCTAAGCCAAGTTTACACCGATTACAGTCGGGCAAATCTGCCGCGCCCCATCTGAAGGTTACGTCACTGAGAGGTAGCGCGTTCCTAATTAATTGCCAGCTAAGCGAAAACTCAGGGTTGCTGAGATAATCCGCCGCTAGGGCCCAAGACCAGAAAGAGCGCCAAACTTATGCCGACAAGCCGAGTCGGCCAAACAAAGGATCCTTCGCGGCCCCCTCCACTAATTCACGATACAACAGTCTCCGAGGCCGAGAAAGGTCACCAGACCGATGAAAATGTTCAAGGCCGACCGACAATCTCTGAGGAAACTCGACAACCTTCCATGACCGCGGATAAGTGCGAGGAGTGATGGTAAGGCTAGGGAAGGCGTCCCTAACACTCCGCACCAAAATTGATTCTTCCGTCAAAACGCGGCGTAGGAAAGCCA